AGGCCCTTCCGCTTGCATGATAGGCGGTGGCACCACTGAGCTAAATCCCCAGCCCATCCATTGATTTTTAATCTGTGTATTTCCTTTGGGGTTAATTGTGTTTCTTGTTTACAGCATATCACTGGGTTTTGTTTCTTGATCCATTCTTCCAGTTTGTGTCTTTTTGGGGGGCAGGGAATTGAGACGAAGTTATTACTGAAAGAAACTGATGTATTCCTGTCGTTGCACTGTTTTCCTGTTGCTGGCTGCCCCCCGTTCTGCTTAACTGCTCACCCTGTCTGGTGTATTCTTTGCATTAGAGATTTGGTATTGTTGGCTTCACTGTTTCTTTCTAGGGTATCTTTGAGAATTTTTTGTAGTGCTGGTTTGGTGGTCATGAGTTTATTGAGTGCTCTTTGTCATGGAAATACTTTATTTCACCATCAATTTTTTTTCCCCAGCATTGGGGATCGAACTCAGGACCTTGTGCTTGGAAGACAGGCACAGTGCCACTGACCCCGGCCCTCTCCATCAATTTTGAAAGAAAGTTTTGGAGGATATAAAAGTCTGGGTTTGGAAGTTATTATCTAAAGGGCTTGGAACATTGCACTCCAAGCTCCCCTGGGCTTTAAGGTTTGTGCTGTAAAGTCTGCTATAATTCTTTTTTTTTGGTAACGGAGATCGAACTTGGGTCCTCGCGCTTGCATAGTAGGTGGCAAAACCACTGAGCTAAATCCCCGGCCCAAGTGTGCTATAATTCTAATGAGTTTGCTTTTACAGTTGATTCATTGCTTTTGTCTAAGAATGTCTAAGATTCTATCCCTGTGTTGGATCTGGTGTTTTGACCATAATGTGATGTGAAGAGGTTCTCTTTTGATTGTAGCTATTTGGGGTTCTACAGGCCTGGCTTATCTGTATGTTTATTTTGTTGCCAATATGTGGAAAGTTTTCTGCTATTATTTCTGTTAACAGGTTTTTTGGGTTTTTTTTGGTACTGGGGATCAAACTTGGGACCTTGCGCTTGCGAGGCAGGCGGTGGCACCACTGGGCTAAATCCCTGGCCACTGTTAACAGGTTTTTTAATGCCATTTGGGCTGCCTTCTGATTTTTCATTTATTCCAGTTAATCTCAGATTGACTATTCTTTGGATCATCTAGAAGCTGTTGTGCTTTTGTTGTTTTTAGAGGTGTCTCTGAGTAATTAGCCTGTGAAAGCACCCCTGTCTTTTAATTCTGTTATTTTGTCCTTACACTGGTTATTTCTGCAGCACATGATTTCAAAAAATGTTTTAGTTTTAATCTCCTGGATTTCTGTTTGGAACCTTTTCATGGACTAGTTCTTTGCTAAACTGGCCTTTTTAATATCATTTTGTTTGGCTCAGCTAGCTTTTTATTAGTGTCTTCTGTAGTTCCCCTGATTGTTTTATTACCTGTATTACCTGAGCAGTTATATTTTCTGTGAGCCTGCTCAGCACCTCATTGATCTGTTTTTTAATCTCCTCTGTTATCCTTTCAAATAATAAAGCATGGCTTTTGCTTTCCTCCCGCTCAATGCCCCATAGACCAGCTTTGGGGGAGTTGGGAGTCTGGTGAGGCATTTTGTTGTCTTCTCTTGTTTCTACTGTTTTGTTTTGTGCACAGGCGTGTGGTTGCTTATAATGGAAGGACCTTGTTGCTAGTATGAGGAGCTCCTTGTCAGGCTTTCAGGGTGTGCTCAGGGTGTGGCTAACATAATCCTTTCCCTCTTCCCCAAGATCCAATCAGCTGTGTTAATGTGGAGGCAGCTGCAGAGCACATCCCCAAACCTGGTCCTCTGGAAATGGACCACAGTGTTCTGATGTCACAAGAGTAATCTGCAGATTGGGGTGCAGAGAAAAATCTGTCAATAGCAACAGCTATGTGACCTGCGTGATATCAAGCAAATCTGCAAAAGTGACATCATCCAAGACAAACTGGATACTGATACACCCTGAGATCCAATAGCTTTCGGCCCTGAGCCTTAGAAAAGAACTCTATGATTACAGTAAAAACCCTAAGACAAACCAAATACTGACATACTACAAATATCTACTAAATGCAATGACTATATCTCTACTACTGATAGAAAGGAATTCAACAGCAGTAACATAGAGTCAACTATCTAAAGATTAATACAGCTGGGCCCGGGGACTTAGCTCAGTGGTTCCACCACCCGCCTCGAAAGCAAAAGGTTCTGAGTTCGATCCCCAGTACCAAAGAAAAAAAAAAAAAAGAGATTAATACAGCTTCATGGTTATACTACTAAAGATATACAGGGGTTGGAAATGGGAGAAGAAAAGAAAAATGTGAAAAATGAGAGAAAAGTGAGACAAAGGATCGTCTCACAGAGTAGGATATTTACAGAATTAGATAAATGTAACAAAAAAAAGATATAGAAGATAAAAGAAAAAGGGGAGCGGGCCGGGGATTTAGCTCAGTGGTGCTGCTGCCTGCCTCTCAAGTGCAAGGTCCTGAGTTCAATCCCCAGAACCAAAAAGAAAAACGAAAAGGGGGAGAAAAAAGGAATAATATGGTACCCAAAAAAGAATGTGAAAAAGAAAGAAAAAAGGAAAAAAGAGCCAAAAAAAAAAAAAAGAGAAAAACATCTATCTATCTATTTATTTATTTTGAGGGGGGCAGGGTCTCACTATATTATTCAGGCTGACTTTGAACTCACTATGTAGCCCAGACTGGCCTCAGACTCATGGAGATCCTCCTGCCTCAGCCTCCCAAATGCTGGAATTAGAGGCATGTGCCACCATCTCTGGCTTTTCTCTGAATTTCTGAATGAGTGATTTCCTTCTAGGATCCTCAGGAGTCCAGCAAGTCTTAGTTTTCTCCACCTAGCCTTAGGGCCTATAGGTATGTGAGTTGCATCCCCTGCTCCAGAGCCCCTCTGTTTACCCCAGGCTGTGGCAATGTCCATGCTGAGACCTGCCCTTCCTTTGTTGGAGGATAGTGGAGGCAATCAGACATCAGATCTGTGCTGGATACAGGCAACAGGGAAAAGGTTCAAGTACTTCCCCAAAGCACTACTTTCTGACCCAGTTGTTTCTGAGCACAACTCAATCCAGTCCTGGCTTCTCACGTGGTGGGTGGGAACCGTGCCCGTACTATCCTGAGCTTACACTTCTCGGGATTTCTTTCTAGCCCTTTCCCGATCTGTGGCTGTCTCCCTGGCTGTCTCTCACCCAGTCACTGTGCGAAGGTGACACTGGGAGCCTGAAGTGACACTGGTTTTTAGTTGTTCTGAGTCTCCAATTTAAATAACCAAGGCTTGGGCCAGGGATTTAGCTCAGTGGTTTCGCCGCCGCTGCGCAAGCACAAGTACCCAAGTTTGATCCCCGGTACCAAAAACAAAAAAACAAACAATAAATAACCAAGGCCTTCCTGAGAGGGAGCTTGATGAAGCCTCTCTGGCAGTATGGTGGGCACCTACACTGAAATCCCTGTCTGGCTACTCCCTGCTGTGTGGAAGGGGTCCCCTGGGAACAGAACCCTGTGCTGTATTTGCAGTTCACAAAGCCCATGGGTTTCTCTGCCGTTTCTCCCTGACCTGGGCACTTAGCTTCTGGGGAGCTGGGTTCCCCTCCCAAGCCTGGAGAGCTTGGGAGAGAGTCCAAATTGTTTCTTTCTTTTCTGTGTTGTGCACTGTCTTGCCAACTTCTCTGTAGCTTCTAATTTTTCCTGCCTGTGCCTTCTCCATTCCCTGTGATCTGCTTCTTTTTTTCTTCTAACAAGTCTGGATTAGAGATCTCAGGCTGAATTTTGCTACTCTGTTGTTGTTTTGGTACCAGGGATCAAATGAGGACCTTGTCCTTGTGAGGCAGGCACAGCGCCGCTGAGATAAATCCCCAGCCCTGTTTTTGTTGTTTTGAGACATGGGCTCACTATATAGTTCGGGCTGGCTTGAACTCACCATGGAGCCCAGGCTGACCTCGAACTTGCAGTGACCCTCCTGCCTCAGCCTTCAGAGTGCTGGGATTAATGGTGTGGGCCACCAGGCCTGGCTGAATTTTGCTACTGATCACACTCTGCCTTTTCTTTCCGGCTGTTCAAGGCACCTTTCTTTACCTGTGAAAAGGGGCTTTTGTGTAGCCTGAGAGGATCCAAGAGGAAGCAGGGGGTGCGGGAGGCATAGGTCTCCTCCTTATGTGGCTGTGATGCTTCAAGATGCCTGTGATGACCCCAGTGTCTTAGCCATGGCGGGGTCTGAACCAGAACTCCTAGAAGGGCACGAAGCCTGGGCCCCGGGCCCACAGCATCCGCCCCCACCTCCCACTCCATCCTCCAGGCCTTGGGCCCTGTGAGCTCATCTGTCCCACGGTCTCGCCTGGCCTCTCTGCTCCTCTGCACTGGGAGACGTTGAGCCAGATGAACTCCGGGCTCCAGCTGACTAATTTCCTTTTGTTTCCTGGAACAAACACCTCGGTTTCAGGATTCTGACTGTTTTCATCCAGACGTCCACAAAGAGGAAAGAATGTGAGGTTTTAGGCTTGAGGATGCCGTTGGCGCCCACCGGGCTCTCCCTGCAGCCACACAGCCCTGCTCTTGCTTTCTGCTTCAAACACACCCTCCTGTTTAATTCTCCTAACAGCCCTGCGAGGCAGATGGGCTCTGCAGTGAAGGCCCCTGAGGCTCAGACAGCTAAGTAATCCGGCCAAGTGCGCGTCGCAGTTGCTCCGTGCCTGCACTGCTCGGCTCTTCACTTCTCCCCCACTTCACCGGGCCCAGAGTGAAGGGGATTTGGCACAAGTCGCACAGCCGTGTACACACTGATTTCTGACCTTAGGCCGGGTGAAGATTAGCCAAAGATGAAAACACCACGGCCTCACCCGTTCTGCGTTCTGCGTCCTCCCTCCACCCCCAAGTCCCGCAGCTGTTTATGAAGAGCAGAGAGCCCTGTGGATCAAAGCCAAGGCCAGACTATGCTCACGTCGCTCAGGCACACTCAGAGCCGAGCCCCGGCCTTTCCTCTGCTGCGCAGGCGGCAGAAGACAGGCAGAGCCCAGGAGTGGCCGGGGACACCGGGCAGGGCTGCAGCAGGACGGTAGGAAGGGAGCGAGTTAGGGTGGAGGCCAAAGGGAAGATGAGCGTGGGTCAGATGCCCACTGCCCCTGGCAGACACCGCTCGAGACCTTTGCCACACTTCCTGCGAGGAGGGCCTGGAATCACTCTCTGCCAGGTACAAGGGAGGAAACTGAGGCTCCAGGGCGTAAGTCTCGCAGGTGTCTGTGTCCCTTGTGAAAAGCACCCCCCCCCCATTAGATGGGGGCGGAGTAACGGGAATGCAGGAGGGGGAGGATGGAGCACAGAGGGAGAAAGAAGGAGGAGTGGGAGGGGCCTGGCGCTCTGCCCGGCCAGGGCGGAGGCCCCAGAGTTGGCCCCGGGGTGTTTATGAGAAACCTCAGCCTTCAGTGACCTCCGGGCCTGCTGCTTCCTGCCCCGTGACTGCTCCCGGCTATAAACAGCCTGTTTATTAACCCGGGAAATGGGCTCTCCTGCTACTGAGGGAAGGGGCAGCCGCGAAAGTCCACCAGCTGGGAGGAGTAACTGCTGGGAACCTGGGACCCTCCAAGGCCCAAGCCCAGGGCCAAGTGCACTCTCGCCCCTTGCACACTGGCTGGGGCTCGCACACGTAGGTCAGTGGGCCCTGCGAGCTGGATTCGGCCTTTTCCAGGGAATTACAAAGCCTGACTCCTCTCATTTCTTTTCCTAGTGTTTCGTAGTGCTCCTTTCCTAGCAGCACTGTGGCGAAATCAAATGCAGTCACGATTATAAAGGCACTCGGCAAACTGAATCCCCCCACCCACAAGCTGTTTCCTGGCCCGGCCCGACAGGGCCCACACCCCACAATCAATCACTCGGGACAAATCGCTCGGGGAGACACATGCGCCTCCACCCGCCGCGTGCTTGGTGGGGCCACTCGATCACCTCACATTCAGCTGGGAATCGGGGACCCTAAGCACACGGGGGACTGGAAGATGAGCTGAGACACTTTCTCAGAAGTTAGCACCTGCCTCTCCTCGGGCCCCTGAGAAAGCATAAAAGGCCCCTGGGGCCAGACAAGAGGGTGGTTCCTTTCCTGACTGATTTAAACCCATGGTGACACCCCTAAAACGAGAGTAGCTTAACAGGAGAAACACTTAACAGATCTGCTTGATCAGAGTTTCTTCCACTGACCCAGCAGGCTCCGGATTGAAGACTGTTCGTCTTTATGTGGGGATTGAAGTCTGACTGGGAGACGGGGTGCGAACTAACAGGCTGATTGGGGAACCCGGCCACCACCTGCCCTGGCTTTCCTTGGCCTTCTGTGCAGTGTCTCCTCCCAGAGATGGGATACGGCCCCTTCTGAAGTGGGTTTATGACCTGTTGTCAGGGAAGGTGGCCCGTAGGGCTCCCTGTCCGTAGCTCCAAGACCGAAAGGCAAGGCAGACATGAGTAATCTTGCTGGGCTTCATGGCTTGCTTTGGGGGAAAGAGGTCCTTGCTTCTTTTTATTTTGGTACCAGGGATTGAACTCGGATCCTTGCACTTGCGAGGCAGGCATCGGAACCACTGAGCTAAATCCCTGGCCCGAGGTCCTAGTTTCTGTGACCTGCCTTGGGGAAGAAAAATTCTAGTTTTTTTTGTGGGGGGGGAGGGGGGGAGTTGGAGACAAGAGGTCAGGAGATCAGGAGAAACTTGGCTTTGAGGCCTTCGCTGCACATTTTCTGAGCCCCACCGCCCCACAGAAATGCTTGTGAAAGTGGCCTGGAATGGGAATCCTTTGAATGGGGGCCAGAGAGGAGGCAGGTATTTGCTGGAGCTGGGATGGGACGAAGTGGCTTTCTAGGCAGCTTGAAGGAGTGGAGTGAAAACAGGAAGACCTCAGCTGTGGGACTTGTGGGAAGGGAGGGTCTCAGGGTATTTACAACTCGGAAAAGACCAGAACAAACAGCCTCTTTCCAAGGCCGGGGTGGGGCCTGGCGACCTCTCAAGGACACAGGCTCAGAGGCTGTAATGGGAAGGTGTTGAAAGCCAGCTCAGCTCAAGGACTCAGGGCGCTGGGCCCCTCCACCTCAGTTCCAGAAGCTTCTCCCCATATTCCCGCAGCCCTGCCCCACGACAGTCTGGGCATAGGTCTCTCTCTCCTTTCCTCCTCCGATCGCACCCTTTTAAAAATAGTTTGAGAATTTTTATTCACGTAAGTAATATATGATTACATTTGTATAAAATTAAATCTTGACAGCTATGGCTAAAATCCCATTGAACCGGGCCAGGGATTTAGCTCAGTGTTTCTGCTGCCTGCCTCAAAAGTGCAAGGTCCCGAGTTAAATCCCCAGTAAAAAAAAAAAAAAATCCCATTCAACCCATTTTGCTCTCCTTTTTTTTTTTTTTTTTTTAAATTCTGAGACGGGGTCACATTAAATCACAAAATTGTTCTCCTGCCTCTGCCTCCCGGAGCGCTGGGATTACAGGCAAGCACCACCGCACCTGGCTTTAGGGCTCATTTACCTGCTCCTTCCCTTACCAAGCCCTTCACTGCCACAGATATGTTGTCATTGGCATCTTTCATTTGGACAGGTGCTTTTGTGTCTCTGAGACTGACAGCTGGCTTGGGGCTGCAGGTTAGGAGGCCTGAACATCCCCACATCCCCTGCTGGGTCCGAAGTGTAGACTTTGGTGGCCAGCCCCTGGCTCCCTCAGTCTGCCTCTCGGGTCTGAGTCACTAGCTGCCACCTACGGCATCTCCACCCGGGCTCTCTGGGCTCCTCCACCTCGTGTAAGACTGAGCTCACCTCCTCCGGGCCCATCGCTCTCCCGGATACTCACATTCTCCCAGGTGCTGGAACGTAGAAACTTGGGCACAGCTTTCTGTCTTCCCCACCACCTAATGAGATCCCAGCTCGGGTGGATTTTATCTTGGTAATGGCTTTCAATTCTCATCCTTTCTCCTCTTATCTTTGGCTAGGGTTATTTTAACAACCCTTAACTAGACTCATTGTCCCTTACACAATGCACCAAATTAATCCCTGTGAAGCAAACATGATGTCATTTTTTCCTTTGGTTGGCTCCTTCCTGAAGACAGAATACAGTAGGGTCTCCTTGGCTTGCTGGCCGCAGCCTTCTCCAGTCTGGCTCAGTTGGCTCCCTCTGGTTTTTTTCTTTTCGGATTCTTCCTCTTCCTCACTCCAAGTGTATCAGTCCCTTGCCATTCCCAAATGTGCCTGTTTATTTCTTGCCTCCCAGGTTTCTTTCCTTCCTTCCCTCCCTCCCTTCTTCCTTCCTTTTTGTTTTGTTTTGCTTCCCCTTTGGTACTGGGAATTGAACCCAGGACTTGTGGATGAGCTACATCTCCAGACCTTTTAAATTTTCTTATAACAAAAATTTAATGTAAATTAAGCATTTAATTAATGATTTAATTTAGCAAGACAAGACCTCACCAAATTGCTCCTTTGCTGGGCTGGGCTTGAACTTGTGAATCTCCTGCCTGCCCTCCCAGGGTGTGGGATTGTTGCGCCACCTTGCCTGGCTGCAGGCTCTCTGGGTGTCCCTTCTTAGCTGTCTCAGCTCAGCCTGTGGGAAGTCCACCAAGCCTTCAGGCACCTGCCCACCCCACATTGAAGATGTGGGTTCCCACGTCCTGCCACAGGCACCCAGTCTCAGCCTCTCTGCTTGTCAGTCTTCTCTATTAAAAAAAAAAAAAAGAAAGAAAAGGTCTAAAACTTCCAGATCTGCTCTCCTCGTTGGAGGAGATTGGTCCTCGCTGTCGCTGGAGACGGCTGCTGTTCTCGTCAGGGGAGCTCTGGTCTTTGCCCTGAGCGTCGCTCCCTGGCTCCAGTGCAGACCCCTCAGCCTGCTGGCACAGACCCTTCATCGTGCTGATGCAGGCTTTCTGGCTTCCACCACTGGCCTTTGGGCCCTCCTGGGGCAGATCCTCCACGCGGACTTGCAGGAGACATTGCTGTGGGCTCCGGGCCTTTGCTGGATCCTTCCAGTCTCTAGTGTGTGGACAGATCTCTTGCACTCCTCTGCATCCGACTTTTTGGGTGACTATTATAAGTTAATCCTGTAAATTATATGTCCTATATAAAATCTAGTCCCTTGCAAACCCTGACTGCAACAAGGAAGAAAGGGACTTGAGCTGGGCGTGGTGCTGCACACAAGTAATCCCAGCTCTCTGGAAAGCTGAGGCAGGAGGATTAAAATTTGAGCCTAGCCTGAGCAATTTAGGATTTAGCAAGACCTTGTCTCAAAATAAAAGAATGAAAAGGGATAGGGAAGTAGCTCAGAGTGAAGGCCCTGGTTTCAATTCAATCCACACACACACACACACCTCACAAAGTAAACACCGCATTCACCTTAGCTCTTACTGTTACGCCATGCCCAGCCTCACTGTCCACGCGAACTTTTCCTGGGCCCTCATTTGTATCACTGTGTTTAGTCATTCTGTTCTTCATGTATAAATCTGGCTAAATGTGTAAATCTGAGAATGACTGCTAACAGGAGGGACCCTATTACTTCTGCATGCGTCACGCCCGCACTCCATGCCTGGAACTGAACCGAGCTTTGGTGAACGTCTTGCTGCAGTCCCCTCGTGTGGAGTGCCGGAGAGTCCCGCCAGTGGGACTGCAGGTGGCTCTGCGGCCCTCAGGCACTCACAGGTCGGCGACAGTCTGCACACCACGCTCCTCTCCCCACATGGTTTTGTCACCTGTGTGGTGGAGATGACCCCACTGGGCAAGCTCGTGGTGGGGGGATGGACCTTCGGAAGGTCTTTTTAACCTTAGCACGGTTGCTTGCTTCCCTCTTGTGGATAAAACTAGCATCAGTTTATTAGCATAAGTCAACCTAATAACGTAGTAGCATCCGTGAGACTCCAGGAGGAGACTGTCTGGGTAATTCCAGTCTGACCCAGGGAAAAAAATCCCTCGGTGTAACCCCGTTGCTTTTCATAGCAATAGTGAGCACCTGGCATCACTCACAGAACGGTGAGGCCCTGTGCCGCCAACAAAATCAATGCATTAGTAAGCAGTGCAGAGCCCTGGCTGCTGACCACGCTGTCCCAGCCAGGGCTAAGGTTTCTGGCGAAGCAAGATGAGAACGAGGAGAGCGAGGCTGTGAAGGGAGACGGAGACTTGGGCATTTCAGATTGAACAAGGGATAAGGTGAATGCATTATTTTTATTATGAAAAATTCTAAA